TTTTGAAGACAGTATTTTTAAAGCAGGATGAAATGTAAACATCTGTTTTAATTTTAATTTTCCGTTCGGTTCCCTATTTAAATTTGGCCTGGGCATACCCAGCATACACAGGTATGTTATTGCAACGTAGGAAATGTGTTATTTGAGTGTTTCGGCGTTCGAGTGTTCTTCCACGACACACGATGATCATCGGAATAACGTTAAAATGTCCCTTTTGGGAGCGCTGAAAGTTACGTCTGCACGAGAGCGTCGAAACAATGCTTCGACAACGTTCCACGTCCAACTCCTCAAGCATTGGATGAGCGTAAGCATTGGAAGAACGCTAAGAAAACGTCGAGACGAATCATAAATCTGCATGTCGGCCTTCCAGGTTGCTTCGGCACCAATAGACGTTTTCTTCATGCACGTCTTTGGCCACTCGATCACAACGAGTCCGCAATCTGGCAGCGGCTCGGACGAAGGCTCGAACGACCGAAGCGAGAAGATGCGGATTTAGCCGCTAAAGCGAGTCCATACCTGATGCAACTTCGATCAGTCCCCCATAATTTCCATGCGGTACTCCACCTTTCCCACAGACACCACGGGGGAAGACGTTTGATTTGTTGAAGAAATGAGTGGATTCGGTGAATAAAGCGAGTCCATACCTGATGCAACTTCGATCAGTCCCCCATAATTTCCATGCGGTACTCCACCTTTCCCACAGACACCACGGGGGAAGACGTTTGATTTGTTGAAGAAATGAGTGGATTCGGTGAACCAGTCCAAGGAGTCTCCAGGAAACTCGAAGAATGGAAGTCGGATCCTTCCAACTTCCCAGTTCACTCCACGGAGAGCCTAGTAAGAGTGGGAGATGACAATGCCAATCCACGTATTAAGCGGAGTCAAGTGTGGGGTTGCGTCCACAGGGAGGGCCGTAAGTCCCGTGCGGTTATGGGAGGCGGTGAAAGAAAAGCAGGGGAAATTATCCGTCTCGTTACTACCGCATATGTGCGGTAATGTCATGCTCTCGTGCGCAGTGCATGTGGAAAAAAGAGCGAACGTCTAAGCAGTTATTACTTTTTTCACATGATGGAAAACGGAAAATACGTTTGATTACTTTTATTCCAACCGACGGGACTTTGGGGCCTCTCTGTACATCCTCGAGTGGAGATCGATTCGGATGTGATGGATTTTTCGGCACGATGAAGCCACTCGGGAGCAGGATCATTCCTGAAAAGGAACGTTAATCGAACGTTCATCGATCGTGCCGGTGCTACTTGAACGAGTTTAATTCCATGTTATAAACGAACGTTCATCCGACGCTCTCGGGTTTAACATTGCTTTGAGCGCATCTAAAAGGGGCATTTCGAGGCCGTGCGTTCGTCGTAATGCTACGACAGCGTTAGGCCTAGTTCATACTCGTGCTGTACAGCAGCGGCGAAATCCAATCCAACACGGGCAAGTTGCATCGGACAGCATGCAATTGCAGCATCCGACATGCTGTATAACTCGAGTGTGAACTCGGCCTTAGAAGTGTTCGTATTAGCATTCCCCAAACGCTCTCGTGTCTGCCGGGTAGTTTCGCGGGACCATCTGGAACGTCGATGAGGATCCCTGGTCGAGAAATGGTGCCCCGAACAAACACCCAGTGTGAGTTTTTCGATTAAATGTGGAAGTGGAACTCCGACTGAGGGAATCGAGGGGTCTGAGGGAATCGAGGAGAGTTTCTCGATCGTAGGATGAAGCGAAACGGAGAAAAGTTGCGGAACGTTCGAAGAATGGGGAAGAGGGTGATTTCATCGATCCACTTTCCTCTTCTTCTTCCTTAAATTCCTCACTCCGTCGTATGGCCATCGTCGAATGTAAAAGTGCTCCGATGCGACGTCTCCGAAGGAAGTTTCGCGCGTTACATCGCAAGACGATCGAGGCACGAGGCAGGTCTCTTCGCTCATCAGGTCGTACATCGCCTCATCCCAATGTAATCCCCATCATATCGACTACAACTCGTATCAAGTTCATCTCGTCGAATCGACGTTTCGTCGACTCGCAATTCACCGATCGTTCGACTCGAATGTTTAACTCGCCGAACTACATTATCGACCTCAGAGAGAGGGAGAAAATGATTCCTGTTGTACGATGGAATTAGAATTCCACCCGAGTCCACCTGAGTCTTCACGAGCTTAAGGGTCGTAGTAAGCCGTTTTGGGAAGAAATTCGACACCCGTGTATACAGAAAAAATTGCTAGCAATCTTTCACCGAGTCAGAGTTGAATATGTGGTGAGTTCTACTCGGTAGGATACAATTCATTTAACATTCGAGTTGAACAATCGGTGAAATGCAAGTCGGCGAATCGGCTTTCGACGAGTTGAGGATTCGGCGAATCGAGCAATCTGTGAGTCAATCGGCGAATCGTCATTCGACGAAATGAACTTTCGACAGGTTAAGCAATCACCCGTACATCGCCTCGTGTGCGCATCCCGTCGCACGTCGCCTAATCCGCACTTAGACTTGCAGAAGAAAAGGAAACTGACGTCATCGATCACCGGCTACTGGGTCTACGTTTCCTCGTGGGGAGATGAGATCGGGCCAGCAGGAAAAACCAGTCTTATCATCTGGGGCAGAATTACGATGCTGCCTGAAATTGCTTCTCGTTCGGATCCCACTGGCTCGTATTTTCTTCAGACGGACAGATATGATGATAGGAATGAAGTCGTTCAAATATTACCGCTTCCATGAAGCAGACGGAAAGAGGAAAAACAACGTATCGACGGCCAAATCTGGTTTTTGGACTCGTCCTATGTAGACTGAGAATCGGGAAATATACGAAGCAGGACACTCTTGCGTCCTTGCGAAAGGCGTCAAGGATCTGCCACCGAAAACAAAAGAGCATAGTATTCGGCTCCAGCTGAATACTAAACCCTATTTTTACGAATACAAATGTAGAAAGTGGGATAATTTCTGACGTGGGGACGATCGCGCCACTCCGGTGAGTCGACTTTTGCTTTGGACCTATGGATACCAACTCCGTCTCGTCGGAAAGAACCTCTTAAAGGAGCAGACGGGGGAAGACGGGGAAACTTGGATTGCAGCTGGACGGGGCAAGCCCTTGGGGTGCAAGCCCTTGGGGGCAAGTAGCCAAAAAGTCAGCCTTACGCGTCCCATATCGTCCGTTCGGCGATCCAACTGGTGAGGAGTGAAATGGTACCGTCGAGCATCGATTTTACGTCTTTGTTGTCTCCCTGGATCTCAGGAGGAAAAACCCTCAAGCGTGAGGGTTTTTCCTCCAAGGATAGGTAAACGCGTTTACCTATCCTTGATGAATAAAAAGAAGAATTTCGCTAGGCAAGGCGGGAGCCTCATGTGTCATCCCACTGACAAAGGTCATGGATGGAACAGCAAGAACCACAGACATCACACATAACTTGTAGTCTCTAAGCGTGGGTAGTTAAGTAAGGAGGATTCGCAAACTTCGGAGTTTGTTATTGGCTAACACGAACCACGTGCTCGGGGAAACACGGGATCCCAGGTTCAGGGATCGCACCAGACATCGTTTCCTGCTTCTCACAGGAGAGCGAGTCCACGATTTCTCGGAGACGAAACGCAGTGTCTCAAAGCGCATGTTGACATCCTAATAGAAGACAGTCGATTATACCGGATGACCCAAAAAGTCCCGAACTTTGTGCGTCTGCAGACGGGATACCATGCTAAGCATCGTATTGAAAATTTCAGAGTGTCGTACCCAATATATGTAAGTGGTTTCAGGAAATTTTCAATGAAATTCCTTGCTCTGAACACGAGTAAGAGCTCTTTCCGTACAGGTGGTGAAATGAGCAAGAGTGTCAGTGCGTTTGCCGGCGTGTTGCCTTGGCGGGCGATCCAAGGAGGACAAATCGATAGAGGACCCATCAAATCTTTCTTTCATTGAGGTCCAGTGCGTTTATTTGCACACTCGCTCTTTTAACATCGCGCGGGAGAAAAATTGCTACTCATGTCGTTCACTACCAATTTCAAATAAAATTTGATTACATTACCTATAAAAATTGCATCTAAAAGCCTGTGAATTTATTGACGATAACTCATATGTTACACCGTCTGGAGGCGTGTGAAGTTCGGGCCTTTTTTGTTGGCCACCCGGTATGAGGAAATGCCATACGAGGCAGAGACGAAGGGAACCAGATGTTGTGAAGGTCTACCAGTTTACAGAGGGTCCTCCCTGCAAGGCTTATAAGAGAAAAAGGAATAGGATGGGAGAGCGTAGTAGAGGCTCAATTGCGCTTCGTTTGCCATGGCGGGCGTCACCGTTCTTTTAGTTGGCATTCTTCTCGTATTCATCATTCAAGATCTCATTCAGAAGATCCTACGATGGAGGAAAATGCCTCCAGGTACGTCAACTGACTCCTTCCTACGCGTGTACGAACATTAGCTCATCGGCCATCGAGGCTGATGGAACTCATCGGCATATCAGGTACATCATCCGAGTCGCATATAGGTTCTTGGTTCACCGATTCTCGCCGATTTCATGCCCTCGATGTCCCTAAAGACGTTGTTATGGTGCTCCTCCGCGAGGAAATACAGTGCTTTCTTCGATAGAGTCATTAAATGCTAACTGATAGGAAAGGGGAAGGGGGACTGGAGCCCCCTCATTGCAAGCTAAAGATTTCAAGTCATCACTTTCGTTTTCAATATGGAAAGGAGAGAGAAAGAGATATTTTCCCGATAACAATATCGAGCATACAATGGAATACTCGGAATGAATAGTAGCGATGACTATTGCAATGTACCATGAATACCGGGTGATTTGTCGGAATCGAACACTTCGGTGAGTGACCGGACGTACGGATTCGAAGGCTGCCAAACACTAGTATACCATCGGAAAAAAGAGTTGATGGAATCCCCATNTGGGGAAACCGTGTGACCTCGATTACACCATCAACGTCGCCGCTCTCAACGTCATCTGGAAACTGACCTCCGGTGAGTAAAATCTCCAGACGTTCATCGGGTCGCAACGAGACGACGACGAATGGGTGTGGAATGTGGAACAGACCAGCAATTCAGTCAAGAGGACGAGAAGGCGATGTTTTTCTTCAGCCTCTTGGATAAGAATCTGAAGGAGATCAAAGACCTCGGGGCGTTGCAGTTCTACGTCTGGCTCCGACATTTCTGGCCGTCCGTCAAGAGTTCCTTTGGTCGCATCATGGGCAGAATCGATATCGTCAAGGAGACTTTCAAGGTATTCGGGGATGGACGCACATGCTTCTGATTTCATCTAAGGGCGTGGACGAGGTGGTTTTCTTACGAAAGTTTTTTTTGTCCAAGAGCCTCTGTAAGGAGCACAAGAAGACGTTCGACCCAAACAACATCCGAGATTACATCGACGTTTATCTCAACGAGATGAAAGAACAGGAGGAGAAAGGGGAAAAGAATCCCAACTTCAATGGTAAGTGCGTTCATTTCCGTTTTTGCCATGACTTTGACCGCAGAACTATACCCGTATTCCTATCGTAGACCTGCAGCTGCAGATCAACATACAGGATTTGTATTTTGCGGGGAGTGAGACGACGGGGAACACGGTGCGATGGGCCATCCTTCTCCTGGCCCTCAATCCCGACGTTCAAAAACGCGCTCAAGAGGAAATCGACTCCGTCATCGGCCGGGACCGGGTCCCCTCGTACGACGACAAGAAAAGGTATGTTCCCTCGTTCCGTTCGGATGTAACGGTCGA